CCCACATCCCCCCTTTCCATGCCCCACCCCCCTTCCACCACAACAGACTTACCAGCTGCACGCGGCTGTATTGGAAATCAGAGTGGTATTGGCCGATATGCCTCCTTAAAAATTGGCTTTCGGTATCAGCGCCCAAAATCTCTACCGGTGCACCCCTACTTTTATTAGATCAATTAGATATCTGCAAAAATATTTCTTTATTTGCAAGCTTTTGGGTCCAAACATCCTTTATCAGGCTGAGGAGAATTAAAAGATTTTAAAAGTTTTTCCCCCAAGTAGCTTAGTAATTGTACCCGTCGGGCTTCGATCATCTGGTCACATGCCACGTGGCTTTGGATGTATAGGACTGTCTGTTGATCCATCCCTGTGGTCTCGCTGAACGGATGTCCCGCCTCAGGGTAGTCTCTTCCCCAATCTCGCCTGCCATGACTTTGGGTATTCCTTCAGTGGTGGGGTCCGACTACTGGGGTTCTCAAGCGTCTGGGACCTCTGGACAGCAATCTTCCACAAGGCTCTAACCTCCCCTATACCTCGCCCTAATACCCAGCCTCGATGAGTTGCTGATGTCTTTTGGCCCGACCTCTGACTGGTGTCCTGTGCTCTCCCATGGATACATACTAAGACCAACTTAACACAAAATCTGTACTGTACCCTTTGGGTCTCATGACTGTCTAGCTTCCCTTAAGACTGCACCCTTCTTTTAATTGAGCCAACACTAGGGCTCTATGTGCTGGGTCTCACAACACCTCCAAAAGTGGGAAACAGAAAGAAACAACAAAAAGGAACAATATCAATACCAGGGAGGCTCCTGGCTACATAAGGTGGGCCAGCCTGGCCCCTTAGTCCCTGACCTCCCAACCCATTCTATACCAGTAGCCCCAGGTCCCTAGAGTTTCCATCTGGTCCTGCCCTGAGTACACCTTAGCTTAACGGCTACCATGTTCTCCCCTCCATTCTTCGGACCGCCTGCGTGTTCACTGGACCCTCGGTGGTGCCTCTAGTCACGCCCCCTCTACATCCCCCACTGGGCAGCTCTATGCAGCTGGAGCCTGTCTTCTGCAGCCCCTCCTGCTGCTTAGGTTCTTTGTTCCCCACCTGGGGTCTCTCCTGGAGCCTTCCTGAATCCGTACCGGTCCCACCTGGCTTGACATCTCGGGCTCTGCCAATCTCCCCTGTTCCTTGGGGGTTATCCTCGTCGTCCACCTCCTCCTCCTGCTCTCTTTGATCTTCTCCCTCGAGTCCTCTGTCTGGGTGAGGTGCGTTGTCCTCCTCTCTCTCTGTGCTGTCGCTAGCATCTTCCCCGCGACGGACTTCAAAGCGGTCTTCTGCCCCGTGGGAGACAGTCCTGACTCCTCTTACCCCCAGTAGGGGTTCTTGGGAACACCTTCCTGCTGGCGAACTTCTGGGTCTTCCCCCGGCTCCCTCGCCTGCGGCACCTTTTATCCCTCCCCTCCGGCTTCTCCTGCTCCTCTCCTCAGCTGGCCGCATTTAAAAAAAAATGCAGCTAACAAGCCGTGCAGTTCCCACCGCCACTTCCAGTTTCACCGCGGGTCCGGCTACAGGTAAGAGATTTTTCGTCTTTTTTTCTCTTTCCTTGCCTTCCCCGGTGCGTTCTGGCCCCCAGGGTCTCCCCCTGGCCCCTCGGGGTCTGTCCTTTGCTTGCTCCCTGTGACAGTAATATAAACTGCATTGCTAACCAAGAAAGAAGAAATTTTCTGCCCAATGTGCATATCACAGAGCAACTCTCTCTCAGAAGGACTTTGAGGAACCTGGGGGAAAAAACTTCCACCTTTTACCTCCCCTGTGCAAAATGAAGTTTATTTTCTACTGGGGAGAACTTTTACAATCTTTGAATTCTCCTCAGCCTGTCAAAAGGTGTGTTGGACCCGAAAGCTTGCAAAGAAAGAATTTTTTTGCTACTATTTAGTTGTTACTATCTAATAAAAGATATAACCTCAAGCCCAAGAGTTTTGTTTGTCGCTGTAGGATTTTAATATGGGGTGGGGGTAGTGTGAGAGAGAGAGAGAGAGAGCGAGCACATTCATACAAGCAGACTGGCACAGACAGTGTGTCCATCCAATTAAAAAAAACCCAAGAATTTCTTCATTGTCTGTTTATGTAGGGAGGGTTTGATTAAGCATGCAAAAGTGTATTTTAAATTGGCTTAATTGAAAACCACTCTTTGTTGCCCCTAAGGTAGATATGCAAGATTCAGTTGAGAATTTTTAAAAAATTATATTCCCTAAATCAGAAAAAGGATTTTCTTTAATGTAATTGGTGATAGCATCCTCACAAACACTCTCTGAAATAGGAAAATACTATTACTCTTGTTTTTAGTAATTGGGTTAGAACTGAGGTAGAGCCAAATCCTCCTAAGCACAGACTGAAATTGTTTGCCAGATCTAGAAATTCAGCCTTGTACACACATTTTTATTCTGTTGGCTTTATAGTTTGACAAATGATGTTGAAGACTAC